CTATTCTAGCAGTAACTGTTCAGCTCTGATGGAGACTGGAGGATATTGTAAATAATAAAATGTAGCTGGGTTTTGAATAGGCAGGCCCAGGAGACAACATGGTGTAGTGGAAAGAACACCCTTCCTCTGATGCTTACTACTTGAATGACCTTGGACAAATCACTTACCCTCAAGAGTGGCTAAAGTAGATGTCCTCCGAGACCCCTTTCAGCTCTAGATTTTTGATGTTTCAAAAAATCAGAGGATGAGGCTCCAGAAAAGATTTTGTTTTGTTTTGTTTGGTGTTTTCAGCCGACAAAGCTCAGTGTTGTCTCTCCTAGTTAGGGCCAGGTGCCCATCAGACAATTAAATTTTTTTTTTTAATTTTGGTTTAACACAGCTAGGAAATATTGACATGTTCTTTTTTAAAGATTATTTTTGATGTAGACCTATGATTTCATCTATATAGAGAACTGCCAGTGTGGAAACACCCCAAAACAATAAAGATCTGATGTAGAGGCAGTTTAGTCTTAGGGAGTGTCTAGGTTACCTTTAAATAGCCATTCGGTTCATAAACATTTATTAAACTTCTATTATGTGCCAGGCATGGTGCTAAAGGCTGGGAATACAAAAAGAATCAAAAGACAGTCCCTACCTGCCAGGAGTTTACAACCTAATGGGGGAGACAATAAGGAGGAGACAAACAATTAATGTACAAACAAGCTATGTATAGGATTTATAGGAAATAACAGAGGGAAGGCATATTAATTAATTAATAATTAAAGGCATTAATAATTCCATTAAGAGGGGATGGAAAAATTGGTTGGGACTTAAAAGAAGCCAGAGAAGGCAGTAGGTAGAAATGAAGAGGGGACAGCATTCCAGTCTTGTTTGTGGGATAGCCCGGAAGTCAATGTCATTATATTGAAGAGTACTTGGGGGAGAGGGGTGTGAGGTAAAAGAAAACTGGAAAGGTAAAAGGGAGCTAAGTTATGAAGGGCTTTGAATGCCAAACAGAGGATTTTGTATTTGATCCTGTAGATGATAGGGAGCCACTGGGGTATTGAATAGGGGGAGTAACATGGTCAGATCTGTGGTTTAGGAAAATTACTTTGATGGCTGAATGAAGATGAACTGGAATGGGGAGAGAGTTGAGGCAGGCAGAGCTATAAACAGGTTATTGCAATAGTCCAGGTGTGAGATGAGTTGTGGCATTATCAGAGGAGAGAAGGAGGCATATTCAAGAGATGTTGCAAAGGCAAAATCAGCAGGACTTGGCAATATCTTGGGTATGGGGGAGTGAGAGATATTGAGGAATCCAGGATAATTCCTAGGTTTTGAGCCTGAGAGGATGGTGTTGCCCTCTACAGGAGTAGAGATAGGTAGGAGACAATGAAGGTTTAGGGGGAAAGATTAATTTGGTCTCAGATAAACTTAAAATGGCTACTGAATGTTCAGTTTGAGATGTGTGAAAGACGGCTGGAGATATAAAATTGGAGGTCAGCAGAGAGATTGGGGCAGAAGAGGTAGATTGGAGAATCAATGGAAGTCGATGAGACCTCCATATGAAGTAGTATAGAGGGGGAAGAGAAGAAGGCCCAGAATAGAACCCTGAGGGACCCTGCAAAGGAAATGGAGAAGGAACAGTCAGGTAGGTAGGAGGAAAACCAGGAAAGAGTGGTGTCCCAAAAACCTAGAGAGAAGAGAGTCTCAGGGAGAAAAGGGCAATCAACAGTGTCAAGGGCTCCAGAGAAGTCAAGGAGATTGAGAATTGAGAAAAAGCCATTGTTTTTGACAGCTAAGAGATCATTAGTAACTCTGGAGGGTACAGTTTCAGTGGCATGATAAGGTCAGATTGATTGTAAGGGGTGAAGAAGACAGTGAAAGACAAGTGGAAGGCACCTATTTTGGATGGTTTTTTCAAGGAGTTTAGTCACAAAGAGTACAAGAGATATAAGACAATATTTAGTGGGGATGGAAGTATCCAGCAAGAGTTTTTTCAGGATGGGAGAGACAGGTATGATTATAGGCAGTAGGGAAGGAGCCAGTAGCTGGAGAGAGATTGAAAATAAGTGACAGAATGGTGATGAGAGAGGGAGTCATCTGTTGGTGGAGACAGGGTGGAATAGGATCTCTTGAGCAGCTAGAGGGGGGTTAGCCTTAGTAAGGAGTAAAGGCACCTAATTATGTGACACAGGGGTAAAGGAAGAGATAGTGGTGAAGGGGGGGTTTGGGGTGCTCTTAGATGCACAGAGGCACCCCAAGATCGTGGGAAAAAGCCCAGATTGCGATGCGGATCTGCCTGATTCAACTCAGATCTTCTTCCAGCCAGAGAAAAAGTTTATTAAAGATAAGCATATAGGCCAGACTCCAAAGGAACCCAAACATCAGTGATCTAAATGGGGTTAAGGTGGTCAGGTGCGGCGTGAGGCAGTCTTAACCTTTTGAGCGTGAGGAAAGCTCAGCGTCTGAGTTGGGGCTGGGGTGGATAGGCCACGTGACACTCATGAGGACAGGTGGGCATAAGGGGTCTCAGCTTCTAAGCTAGAGAACAGCTCAGCATCAGAATGGGGGAAAGGTGAGCCTTAAGTACAGACTGAGGGAGGGGCCATCCAGTTTGGAGTGACAGGAGGAGGGGTCCAAGGAGTGGCCAAGCAGGTGAGGGGAGGTGGGGTCTAGGGAAATCTGGGTGGGGGTGGCCAGCAAGCTGGGGCGAAAGGAACACTGGCCTAGCTAGGATTAAGGGTGGGAATGGCCAGGAAGGCAAAACAATGGGAAAGCCAGTTGATGAGGGAGGTGGACCGTTTGGGAAAGGGTCCAGATGAGAATTTCCGTTTGGAAGGTCTGAGTGATTTGAACACACAATGAGAATAGATAATGAATGGAGCTGGAAGGGGAAGTTTGCTTTCAAAGGGCTTTTAAAGGGAAATAAGGCAGTTTCTAAAACTTTAAGGGTTTCCTGGGACCGGTAAACAAAACTGAAGCCAGGTTCTTTTTGGGGGCGGGGGAGGAAAGATGTCAAAGAGAGATAAGTGAGTCTACAAGGAATCTCAAAGTTTTAAGGTTTTTCTGGGAATTGTAGGTAAACCTCTTCAGTGGGAGCAGGCATATGAGTTATAGGAGATGAGGAAAAGGGGAGAAGAGGGAGCTCATGGAGAATGGCTTCAATTTTTTCTATAAAATATGAGACAAGATTCTCAGCTAAGAATGTGGAGGGAGGTGAACCCATGGGAGATTTGAGGGATGAAGAGGTTTGGAAGAACCTTAGTGGAGAGTGGGGTAGTGAATTGATAAGGGAGATATAGTAGGATTGCCTAGAAGCAGTGAGGGCCCAGTTGAGGTTATGTAACATAAATTTGTAGTGGACCCAATCCGAATGGTGGTGTCATTTTTTTCAACCTTTGTTCAGTAGCACATGTGTAAGAGTGAAGGTGGCAAATAGTGGGAGTGATTCATGGCTAAAACTTAGCAGGGTGCAATGGGTGAAATGATAAGATGGCTAGGGATTCCAGAGAGAAGGACAGTGCCGAGTTGAAATGGTTCACCAAGGAGTCAAGATGGGGAAAAAGAAAAGAGCAGCTAGTACAGGGGGAGATGACTTGGGAGAGAACTGAGGGGTTGAGGCATTGGGGATCACAGTGTGGACAAATAGTATGGTTTGGTAAGGGAAGGCAGAAGGAGAGGTGAAAAGCCAATAGAAAATGGTTAGATAAGGGGATTTGGGGATTCTTGAATATAGAGGTGGTACATTTATGGGTGATGGCAAGATCAAGAGTATGCCCATATTTGGGATGGAAGAGTAGGTCACTGGAAGTGAGGTAAGTTGAAGAACTGAAGGGTTAGGGCAGACCTGCACAACTTGGCAGTAGGTAGGGGCCAAAATTAAAATAGGCTAAACTTCCTCTGCTGCAGATAGGCTAGACCAGAGAAAGAATGAGGATGGTTGGTTTCTACGGGTCATGTGACAAACAGGAGAGTGTGCAGTGGCAACCCTACATTAAATCCTTTGGCAGGCTGCAAGGGGCCCACAGGTTATATGTTGTGCAGGCCTGGGTTAGGGTATTTGAAGAATTGTCAGTATGTATGTAGATGCCTTCTGGGAGTTGGGGAAAAGAGAAAAATTATAAACCAGGTACAGAACTCATTGAGGAAAGACCTAGAGGTCTGTAGACAGCAGCTACCAGGATTTTGATGTGGTAATAGATATGGATAGCATGAACCTCAGTGGAGGAGAGGTTACTGAATGGTGGAATGACTGGAAGTGGCAATGGGAAACAAAGAGTAATAAAATTCCACCAGTGCCCTCTCCACCCCGCCCCCCCCACACATACACTCAGCAAGGGGAATGAGTGAGTGATGCTTGACATCTATATAGTGCTTTAAAGTTTGCAAAAACTTTTAGCTGCATATACCTACTTATTTGATTCATAAAACAACTCTGTGAGATAGATGCTGTCATTATCATTCCTGTTTTAAAGATGAGGTAACTAAGGCCCAGAGAGGTTAATTTATCTGCCCAAATATCACTGTTAGAATGCATCAGAAGCAAAACTTGAACCTGGATTTTCCTGATTCCATGTGAGAGATGTAACGAAAATGTACGTTTCCATAAAATTGAAACAATCACTAGAAAAGTAACTGAGTAAAACGGGATAAAGCCAGTCTTATCGGGTTTTGCTGTTAGAAGTCAGTAAGTAGGGCAAAGGTTAAGCTTTGCTTAGAGTGTGCATGCTTAATAGGCTCATGAATACTAACTTCTCCACCTCTGGGCAGGGCTAAGATGCCATTTTCTGAACATGTGATGTATGTAGAAGGAGGGAGGACGTGTATAAGTGTAATAAGTGTACTAGAAAGTTATACGCTGGAGTAGTCAGCCAATGAGGAAACAGAGGAGGGACTTTGTGGCCAGGATTAGAGATAAATAATGAAGTCTTGCTTTGGTACAGTGTGCCCTATAGGTGGTTGCAACTGTGTAATAAACTGGGCTTTTAACTTCCTCTCTCCTGAGTCAGAATGAATTATTTCTCACACACGGTCAGACCTCTCTGTCCTATATTAGGCGGCTTCTTCTTCTTCTTCTTCTTCTTCCTCTTCTATTTCTTCTTCCTCTTTCTCTTCTTCTATTTCTTCTTCCTCTTTCTCTTCTTCTATTTCTTCTTC